GAGGAAGAGATCCATACGCCGATCTCATCAGAAGACGACGGCTGATTCTCGTCGTTCCGCCTCTTTTGGGCTTTAGTACAACCTTTGCCTCAGCCCGTTTTCACCCAAAACTATGAAAGATGGCTCGTAGATTGCGTCAGCCTGAACGTTGATTTAAAGGCGAACATTTGCAAAAAAATGAGGATCAACCGTCATCTTATGGTGCAATCTGACACTTTTATACGAAATGATATTTTCCACAACAACGAACATCAATATACCACATAGAAAACTTCCATTTCGAAGTTATAAAACTACTTTTCGCCATTTAGGTTGGCCAGGGTTCATATGCTTATTTTGCTCTTTTCGTTTTTTTGCTTGACAACTCGTTCAAAATTAGCATTTTTCAACTGATGGGAGAAATGATGAAGAAGCAAGTACACATTCGTCACAACATTTGCCAACGTTCCTAACAGACCATTAACCCATTAACCTCCGATGGGATACCGATTGCGCTAGGAATGAGTCTTCTCAATGAAGTTGTTGACTAAGATTACGGCGATATGTCTACGAGGCTACCAAGTCAACAGATCAATGCTGGAAATTACGATTATTAACTCGGAAAATGGAGGTACGACTGAGCGTGATCTTTCGCCGATTCCCAGTACAAGACTCAGTTGGAACGGCTTATTCTGTAATCGAGTATAACCCAACCGGTGATTCATGATCTCCTCGCTAGACCGACAGGCGGAAATAGAAATGAAGTTCATCTGCTAGTTGCCCAAACTCATCCTCATCCCAACCATTCTAGTCTCACCAACAGCACGTGACCACTCGATCACACGATCCGAGTACCATGCTGTCGTATGGAGCAGGATTTGGGATATCTGATCGCTCCGTTACGGGATGAAAGTTACGATAAAGCAGTTGTTGCTGCCTTTGTCGCCAATCTTTGTTAATTAACTTAGCACTTAATCCGACAGCATTTTGCCGTAAACTTGCATAATTTTACTATTTAACACCTCGTTTCCAGAATCATAAACACGATTATAAAAAGCGAATTCACAAGAGTTTCGATATGCTCCCAACATTTCGTTTCATTGGAAGGTGAACACCAGGTGGAATGGTGCCACACTAAACCTACCAACAAGGACACACCTTTTGACGAGTGGAATGTAAACATGTCAGAAATTGTGATGGAGCGGGAGTTTGACAGGAGGGTAAGCGGTAAATAGATGGGCCAGGACAGAAGGAGGAGTGAT